CTCTCTGTGGATCACACCGCTTCTGCTTCCAACACCGATTTCGGCACATGTAAACGCCGATGGCACCTGCAGCAATCTTTTTATGGCAGATAGGCGTTTTAATGCGTCTTTAACGTGAGGTCTCAGCATCCGCGTTTACTGTGGCTGAAGTAGTTCCGCCTCGCCTGTATGTTGGCTTCTCTTTTAAATCCAGGTTCAATCATCAGTGGCGGTTTGGTCCTAATTCCGTTTTGGTGGTCATGCGATGAAAAGGTTCAGTACCGGTGTTTCATTGCGGTGGCCTCCAAAGTTGCTTAACGGGTTTGACAGCGTGCCTAACCCATCACTCTCTATCTGACGTAGCACCTGGGGCAAGCGGGCAAATCGGTCGAACGATATACCCGTGCCTTCCGAAACAACAGTTCCAAACGGAATCGGGTTATCCGCTCAGGTCAGACACAGCAGCCACAAATCAGAAACAAACAAGGTCAAGGACAGAAAAGAATTCAACATCATCAGCAATCAATATATCAACAAAAAAACATTAAAGGCCCAAACATCATTAACATTTCAAGGACACTTAAAACATGCCAAATTATAACACAAAAACAAATTTAGAAAAAGTTCAACATCATCAATTCACTACAATAAATCAGACATCAACACATAATTATACAACATCAGCACACCTTCATTCAGATTCACAATATTGCATTAAAACACACGAACATTGCAATCACATCATCATCATCCATCAGCACATCATCAATCAAAAGTCACACACATTACATATCATTAAAATATATTTCATCCTCCATTATACACATTGAATATAAATAAAAAAAACATCTTAAGTCATCATCACACAAACAATCACATTTCAAACAAAATACCTTCATCCTCAACCACATAATAAACGCGATATGCAGCAAAGCAGAAAAAATTTCGTGGTTTCTTCAACTTCAGTGATTTGAGAGGTGTTGACATCGCCTTTTAGAGAATCTCTTCATCACGAAGAAGGTACCCGTATTTCCAATTGTAGGCAGCCACTCGTAGGTGTGAGGAACTCGACCTGTGGCAGCAGCATCCATAGAAGACTTAGATGTGGGAGATAGAGCGTATTGTCGCGTTCAATGTCCGCATGCGTATACTTCGTTTACAGGAGGTTGTAACTCGCGATTTCACTTTTTTCGTTGCTGTCAAGAGCATAAGCGAGTTTTTGTTCTGCGATAGGTCGCTTTCAAGGCAGAATCGCTCGAATGCCAATAAAGCCGTTAGGTCCAACGCATCGCGAGGGGTTGCTTTGGAAGAATATCTCCGGGCGGGTCGGCGGAATAGACACGCTATAGATGTCTCTGTTCATCTATCTTTCATCACGCATGTCCGCACTCCGTTGTGTTGTAGGTTGACGCCGTATCCCAAACTTCATGGATCAATATGAGATAAGATTTTGGGATATTTTCGTCAGGGGCGGCATCTAATTTTTTTGAGCGTGAGACCTTCGGATTCGTTGGTTCGTTTTCCGGCACCTGGAAGTGAATGGAATTTCATCGGTGGTCGGGAGTCGCTACTTTTTCTTGGATGTTCGGCAAGTTTACACCGATGTTACTGCTCCCTGTCACGATTCCATCACCTCTAAGACCCGGGTGATTCCTCGCTTGTTTACGGTCAATTACTTTCGTCATCGCGGGTGAAATCCCAAACCGCTTGCCTAATTAGGTAGATGAATTGAATTAGGTTTTTTCATCTTTTTGGTCCTTTTGCCTCGTGCTGTTAGGGCATGAATGCTCTGCTATATACTCGAAAATCATTTACTGAAATTCGAGTTGTTGCCCCTCTATGGGCTTTTGCTCGTCCTTACGACCTCGCGTCTGGCGTCGATTTTTGGTGGATGAGGAGATGCCTTCGCGTCGTCCGAGCGTCGGTTGTCCTCGGCATCTTGATAACGAAGTGTCTAAACTCCATCGGATATGTGTAAGCACGGTTCGATAACCCGCGGTGGGAACAGAAGAGTCCTGAAATGACGACATCCCCCGGTCCATCCTTTCATACTATACGGACACGCATCCGATTCATACCGTTTTGATATAGTCGTCGTGGATGCGTCAGATAGTACTTTCGTCCTGTCTTCGTCGTGTGGACATCACCCCACCACCGACCACCCTCACCCCACTATGGCGTCCCCGGACTGATTCCACTGCACCCTTGTCTATCACGTTGACCGGCACTAAAGGTGTCCGACATTCCCATCCTTCCGCAATGCACTCAGCTTCTTTTTGAAGTTATGCACCAGCATCTTGATGCCTATCATATCCTCTGTCGTTTGTTTTCTATCCGGTAGTTTCGGGCGAACCGAGTAGTTCGGGTACAATCGGATCTCTGGACCGAGATGAGACCCGCGAGTTCAAGGAGGGTAGGGTGTGCGAACACGTCAAAAAAACCTTCCGTGGAGTTCCGAACGAAAAATGGTTGGGTTTTCGTCTGGATATTTTTCGTAGAGCCGGATCAGGCGGGTTTCAAAAGGGGCATCGGGATAGGTGTCCGTCAGTTTTCCTTCCGTCACATCCCGTTGCAACGCCAGTTCAGCGACTAACGCTTCACATTCCTGTTTGACAGCCTTAAGCGTACCGGTTCCAAAACGCCGTGCAGGATGGTGCGAACTCCGTTCTCATTGAATTCCTGATAACTGATTCCATTTTCATGCCCTCTGTGCGTGGCGTTTTCGTGTTACGCGAATATCTCTGTTTCTCGCCTAATTTCCACCCGGAACTAAGCCTGCTTTCACAAGAGACGAGACAACGACGTAGGCGGATTCTTCAAGGGAGAGTTCCGCTGTATTCACCGTGACCTCTGGATCGATAGGTGCTTCGTAAGGTGCGCTGATACCGGTAAACTCCTTAATCTCTCCAGCGCGGTGCGTTTTTGTATAAGCCTTTCGTATCGCGTTCTTCGCAGACCTCAAGCGGACAGTCGACAAAAACTTCAACGAATCTACCTTCAGCAATCAGTTCTCTTGCCTGATCCCTATCGGCGCGATAGGGCGAGATGAAGGCTGTCATAACGATGGTGCCGGCATCTGCAAAAAGTTTCGCCACTTCACCGATGCGCCGGATGTTTTCTTCGCGGTCCTCAGGTGAGAAACCCAGGTTCTTGTTCAGTCCATGGCGAACGTTATCGCCGTCCAAGACGTAGGTATGGTGCTGTTGTTGATGTAGTACCTGTTCAACTGCGGTTGCTAACGTCGATTTACCTGAACCGGAGAGACCTGTGAACCAAATCACACAGCCTTTCTGATTCAGCAATTTTTCTCTGTCTTCTGCCGTGACAATCGCATCATGCCACGTAATATTGGTTGCTTTCTGTTGAGCCAATCGATTACTCCTCACATATTAGAATTCATAGAATTGAGGCGTTCTACATCTGCCTCTATCGCCAGATACAATCATTTTACTATTATACGTGCAGAAATCAATAATGTCAACCCAATTCGCAGAGGTATTCAGTTCTTCTGTAGGAGAGTTCCCATTGTCTGAATCGCGGATTGACGCGGATTACACAGATTTCGCGGATTTTTTATGGGTTTCCATCGGCATTTATCCTCTGAAGCAGGAGTTGAGGAGTGGCAGGATGAGATGAGCGTCTGAAGCAGGATTTACAGGATTTATAGGATTTACAGGATTATGTGTGTTTTGTGCGTTAATTGTTTGATAGGAATCTAACCTACATTCTATTATTGTTTGTCAAAGCGCACCTGATTTTGACAATTAACACCTACATTTTCTCAGTAATATAGATAGTTTGATTTACGGGACTCTCGGCATCTGAGAAATCAAGCGTCTGGATGTGCCCGTTTTGCCATTTTACTTCGATGGATTGAATGGTCTTTTGAGTACCGATGCCGAAAAGGAGAGTTCGCTCGCTACCGGAGGCGTAACTTCCACCACACGTTACCTCGCTGAACAGCGTTGTTTCATCTGTATGTACCCACACTTTCGCACCGATCCCATCGCGGTTGCTTTCGGTGCCGACGAGCCGAATTTTTACCCAGTTATGGACTTCGGAATCGTTTCGCAGCAAAATAGGGGATTCACCACAACAGGTGACGAGAATATCCGTCGCGCCATCGTTATTATAATCACCAATAGCGACACCGCGGGCGACAACAGAACGTTTGAAAAATGGACCCGCTGTCTCGGATAAATCTCTAAATTGTCCTGTCCCTGTGTTTCTAAAAATCTGGCACTTCTGTGCATAGGAGAGCGATGGGGTAATTTCTGATACGTTGTCCCACACGTGTCCGTTTGCGACGAAGAGCTCAAGTGTGCCGTCGTTGTCTGCGTCGAGGAACTGGGTGCCGAAGCCGAGTTGTGAGAAACTTGGATCGGCAAGACTTGTTTCAAAAGTGGTCATTGTGTAGAAGCCATCGTTGTCGTTGTGGAAGAGGCTATTGATTTCCAGAGAGAAGTTTGTGACGAAGATATCTTGTACACCGTCGTTATCGTAATCCCCGGAAGCGATACCCATACTGGCGGTTGCGCGTCCTTCTGAGTTGTAGGCGATCCCCGCAGTGACGGCGATGTCTGTGAATGTTCCATCTTTGTTATTCTGGTAGAGGAAGTCTGGAACGGCATCGTTAGCAACGAAAATGTCGGGATAGCCGTCGTTGTTGTAGTCTGTGAAGAGCACGCCTAATCCTTTGCCTGCGTTGTGAACCCTCGCACGGGTCGTAACGTCCGTGAAGGTGCCATCGCCGTTGTTGCGATAAAGCGTATCGCGAATGCCGGGGTACTCGTGTGGGCCACAAAAAATATGAACCCCTTGAAGAAAGCAAGCATGAGCGGTCTCTAATTGATAATCCAAATAGTTTGCTACATAAAGGTCAAGGTGTCCGTCGAGGTTAAAGTCGCCGAAGGACGCGCTAACACTCCAATGACCGTCCCCGACACCGGCGTGTGACGTAACGTCCGTGAAGGTGCCGTTGCCGTTATTCCGATAGAGTTGGTTTTTACCGAAGTTAGTGAGGTAAAGGTCTGCGTCACCGTCATTGTCGTAGTCTGCCGCGAGACATCCCATGCCGTAACCGTGATTTTGTTGAAGTCCGGCTTCTACTGTGGCATCAACGAACGTTCCATCACCTTTATTGCGGTAGAGGATGTTCATGTGCTCAGGATCTCTGTGCGGTTGGGACGCGGGACCGAGAGTGCCGCTATTGACGAGATAGATGTCGAGATGTCCGTCGTTATTATAGTCGAAAAAGAGTCCACCGGATCCCATCGTTTCAGGTAGGTATTTCTCTTTGGATGCACCGTTGGTATGTTTAAAATGGATTCCCGCTTGCTGCGTTTGGTCTGTGAAGACGAGTGTTGTTTCGGCAATGGACAGACTCGCGGTACAACAGACAAGCATCAGGAAGATGAGTAGGAGGGTTTCTGCTTTGCGCATTGAGCGAGAGATAACAGTCGTTTTTCAATTGTTCCGTATATCCCGCGTTGTTGGTAGCAATTTTAAAAGTAAAAGCACCCAACGAGTGGGTGCCTTTAAGTGTTTGTTCTCCTTAGAATCCGCTTTTCAGCGCACCCCAAGTTGTTGTAAGTTTGTTTTGCGCTTCAACAGCAGTCTGCGGATCGGTTTCATTCGGATCGAATTCGACATCTGTTGTGGCGAAAATTTTGTCGATGTATGTACCATCTTCGCGATGGGCGATGTGCAGTGTGTGATCTCCGTCAGACAGTTCTACTGGAACCGGATCGTCACCGTGCTGGACAAGTTCAGTCCCCTCAAAGGGACCGTCGCGCGTGTTCAATCGGAACCAGACCCATTCGGTTGTATAGCCAGCCCGGAGGGACTCTGCTTCAAAGAAATCCCAGATGTTCATGGGACCATCATTGTTAGACCCTACCTCACCGTCAGGGATATTGAATACCCAAAAGCAGGAGTTATCAGCGACGGACGGGGCAATTACACGTCCCCAAAAGTGCCAATTGTCTGCATCGACTGAGAATTCGTATTTGACCCAGTCATCGCCATCGTTTGTAGCACCATTATGTGAACCGATATAAGCACCACCGGATGCTTCTGTGACGCTGTAATCGTCAACACCTTCAGCAGCGGTACCGGGGTGATCGGTTGGGACTTCAAAAATTTCAAATTTTGTGCCGCTTGAATCGTTAAAATCCTCCGCTTCCCAACTGATATATTTTTGGGCGAATGCGGGTGAAACAATAAGGCTTAACATCGCCAATAAAATGATAGTTCGCATTAACGAACCTCCTTAAAAAAGTGGATTAAAATTGTTATAGCACATTACAAAAAAATATGCTACTTTTTTGTGCATTTTTCGGAATATTTTCGGTGACTTATCAAAAAATGTAAAGTTCCAAGCGTCTACATCAATGCATCTTCGACTTCTTCAGGAAGTTCGACTGTACTTGGATCAACATCAATGGGGTACTCAGTGCCGTACGCTTCAACGAGGTCATCAAAAGCGACGTTATCTACACGTTCAAGATCGTCACCCGGATGCACAAGCCATACACCGTAGCAGCTGTCACAACTGACGAGATCCACATCGTTTTTTTCGATCGGAAACTGCGTCAAGGGATTATTACAATCAGGGCAAGGTAGCATATACCTTCCTCCTTGGAGTCGTCTCGATCACACGATCGAGTGCTAAGGGTTAATCAGCAGCGGGGGCGAAGGTTTCAGGATTTTCCGCCGCGGCATCATAATCATCAATCAATTTAGTAATGGCGGGATTGTCCCCACAAAGTGGGCAGTTCTCATCTCGGTTGATTTTCAGTTCACGATAGGTCATGCCGAGTGCGTCGTATAGGATGAGCCTACCGATGAGGGGGTCGCCGATACCGATAATGTATTTAATCGTTTCGGTTGCCATCATGACACCAATTACGCCTGGGAGCACGCCCAGGACACCTGCCTCACTTCAGCTGGGCACCAGGCCCGGAGGCGGCGGTATCGGGTACATGCATCGGTAGCAAGGTCCCTCGTGTGGTTTAAAGAGCGATACCTGTCCCTCAAATTGGAAAATACTGCCGTGAACAATCGGCTTGTTCATCAGCACAGCCGCATCGTTAACGAGATAGCGGGTCGCGAAGTTATCGCAGCCGTCGACAATCAGGTCGTATTCCGAGAAGATTTCTTCAACGTTGTCGGCAGTCAGGCGGAGGTTATACGGTATGATGTTGATGTCTGGATTCAAGGACTTAATTGTTGTTGTCGCGGATTGAACCTTCGGTGTGCCGACCGATTCTGTACGGTGGAGGATCTGACGCTGGAGATTGCTTAGCTCGACTACATCGGAATCGATAATACCGAGGTGTCCAACACCGGCGGCACCGAGATACACACCCGCAGGTGAACCTAAGCCGCCTGCACCGACCATTAAGACTTTAGCATCGAGTAGTTTCGCTTGTCCCTGTTCCCCAACCTCCGTGAGCATAAAGTGGCGACTGTAACGATCGAGTTGCTCATGCGTCATCGGTTTATCTTGTGCAGTCTGGTAACCCGCTGCCGCCCAATCGCGATATCCACCCGCAAGAGAGACAGTATCGGTGTAACCCATTTCGCGTAAGGATTTGGCAGCGAGGAGAGAGCGGAGTCCTGCCGCACAGTAAACGACAACTTTTTGGTTTCGATCCGGAATATAGTTCTCAACCGAAAATTCCAACATGCCCCGTGTGACATGCACTGCGTTGGGGATATAACCGGCGCGATATTCATCTTCGTCACGCACATCAAGTAGCACGAAATCGCTTTCTTTGTCCTGTTCGCTATTCACCTCAGCGACAGTTACCTCCGGGATTTCTGTTTTAGCTTCCTCAACGATTTGACTATAGGATTTCATGAGATTTTTCTCCTGCGGAAAAGGAATATAAAGGTCCGGGTTTCATATTATTATTCCATACGTTTTTGTTTTTCGCACTTCCACAATTATATCACATCCGCGTGATATTGTCAATCTTTTATTTTTTCTATTCAAAAGACCTCTTGTAGGAGGGATCTCCGAATCCCGACGAATATTAGCTTCTTTTCTACTTTGTAGGAGGGATCTCCGAATCCCGACTCTTAACTCGCGATACTTCTAATGGGAACAATTCACGGAGGTTTCACGGAGGATTTTTTCATGTCAGGTGTTACGTGGGTTCGTGAGATTCAAAATGTCCTTTCTCCGTGAAAAAACAAAATGATAAATTAAATAAAACATAATGTCGGATTTGAATTGAACCCGTTCATCGTATTCTCCGCTGGCGAGGTTTCCTGCGTTTTTGTATCGTAAACTGTTATTTTTCGGACGCACAAGCACAGACTAACAGTCTATGCTACGACAACTATCACCACCTAACAGATTCTGCTACAACGGTGGCAACTTAGGTTATGCTTAGGGAAATACGTTTCCGAAAAACAATATTCCTTTGACTTTTCGCTTGGTATATGGTAAACTAAAAATAAGTTATATTGGTGGAAACTCTGTCCCTAAACCGCTGTTATCCTAACTGTTACGCTAAATCAAATGTAAGGTTACTGCCCCTATGCCAAAACAAACTTCAACGAAAAACTGACCGCTACTCCTCAAAACCTATCCCGAATTCCTCGACGACACAGGCGAACTCATCCCGCCGCCGTCAGAGACCACGCATGGCAACTCAACCACGACCTCATCAAATTATTGCTCACCGATGATGAGATAAAAGCAACCTTCTTTGACGAAATTGACGGACATTGGGTTTTCAACCACAACACCTTCATCAACTACATCACCGACAAAAACTTCCTCGCCAACGCCTACACCCAATTCCGTAACAAGATCGGCTGAACATCGGTGGCAAATTTCTCCGCGAGCGTGGCGAAGTCTCACTCGTTTGGCCCTACAAGGACTGCGTCTTAGAGGGCGGACAGACGAAAGAAGAGGAGAAGCGCAAAGAGATTTTCTTCAACGAGACGCTTGCCCAAGACGAAATCAACCGAATGTTCGATCCGAAGGTCCTCACCCACTGGAAACGCCACACCACTGACGGTGAACAGGACGTAACGGACATCCAACGGGACGAGAACGGTATCATTCGCGAAAACTTCATTATCAAGGGCAACAACCTCATCGCACTCCACACCCTTAAACAGCAATTCCGCGGACAGGTCAAACTCATCTATATCGACCCGCCGTACAACCCTGATAGTCCGTCAAATACTTTCATATATAACAATAATTTCAAGCGTTCTTCTTGGCTGACTTTTATGAAAAACAGATTGGAGATTGCCAAGGAGTTGTTAACAAATGACGGGACTATGATTGTTGCAATCGATGAAAATGAACAGGTTTATCTAGGGGTTCTATTGGATGAAGTCTTTCCAGCACACGAAAAACATTGTATTACTATTGTTCACAACCCGCGTGGGGTCCAAGGGACAAATTTCTCATATACTCACGAATATGCAATTTTTGTAATTCCTCAAGGAAAAAAAAGTTATTGGTAATAGGAAAATCCTCGCTGAAGAAATTACCTGGTCCAACTTCAGAAATTGGGGTGGAGAATCGAAACGCGAGAATGCAAAGAATTGCTTTTATCCAGTTATTGTAGAAGATGGCAAAGTTGTTGGGTTTGGAGATGTTCTTGATGACAATGAACACCCTTTTGCTCAAACAGTACAGGACGAGAAAAGAGATCTTGTGTATCCAATTGATCCGAACAAGATTGAACGCAAATGGAGATATGCCCGGCAAAGTGTAGACGAAATCAAGCATTTACTCCGAGCAAAGAAAACGAAAAACTGGCTACGAAAATTGAGATAGGAAAGGACTTCGGAGCCTATCGTACTGTTTGGGAAGATAGCAGATACGATGCTAATATCTACGGAACACAAATTGTTAAGGCACTTGTACCTGACTGCGGATTTGCTTTTCCAAAGTCGCTTTGGAATGTCTATGACTGTTTATATTCGGTAGTGGCAAACGATAAAGATGCAATTGTCTTAGATTTCTTCGGTGGAAGTGGTACTACTGCTCACGCCGTGTTGGAATTAAATAAAGACGGGGGTGATCGAAAATTCATCATTTGTGAGCAAATGCACTACGTTGAAACCGTAACAAGGGAGCGCGTCAAGAAAGTCATAGAGCAAAACAATAGTGGTGATTTTGTCTTTTGCGAACTGATGCAATATAACCAAACCTATATAGACAAGATCCAATCCGCGCAATCCTCCGAAGCACTTGTAGCACTCTGGCGAGACATCGCCGAAAACGCATTCCTGAATTGGTACGTCAACCCCGAAATGCCGGAAGCAGCAATAAACGACTTCATCGCCATCGACGACGTAGAGAAACAGAGGCATCTACTGGCGGAGCTGCTGGATAAGAATCAACTCTACGTCAATCTCTCCGAAATAGAGGACACAGATTTTGGGGTTAGTGAAGAAGATAAGGTGTTGAACAAGGCTTTTTATGGAGAATAAACAAACCGCAAGGGCACCTCTCTCAATTCGGCACTACTTTGTAGATGAAGGTGGCGATAGCACCCTCTTTTCCAAAACAGGAAAGACATTGGTCGGTACAGAAGGATGTTCCCGCTTTTTCATACTCGGTTTATTGGATGTCCCGGATCCAATGGCGTTAAATGACCGTTTTGATGAACTGCGGGCGCGACTCATGAGCGATTCCTATTTCAAGAGTGTACCCTCTATGCAACCAGATGCGCGCAAAACCGCACTCGCATTCCACGCTAAAGATGATTTGCCGGAAGTCCGCAGGGATGTTTTTCAGATTTTACGTGACACTGACGGGTTACGCTTTTTTGCTGTCGTTGCCGATAAATTGAGTGTTCTTGAATACGTACGCCAACGCAACAAACGGGAACCCGCTTATCGCTATCATCCCAATGAACTTTACGACTATCTGACAGGGTGCTTGTTCAAAGAAAGATTAAGTCAGCATAATAGATATGAGATTATCTTCTCAAAGCGTGGGAAATCTGACAGACTCGACGCTTTGCGGAAGCTGATTGAAACCACATCCGAACCTCTGACACAACAACAGAACATCAGCGGCACTTCTTTTACTGGTGTATCTGCTGCCACGCCGAAGGAACATGCCGGTTTGCAAGCAGTTGACTATTTTGTTTGGGCATTACAGAGACTCTATGAGCGAGGTGAGGAGCGATATCTGGTATATCTATGGGACTCTTTTCGACTTGTACACGATATTGATGACGTGCGGGAAGCCAGTTATGGAATCTATTACACACAAAAGAAACCTCTGAGAGCGGCAGCCTTAATGTGGAGAAAGTAAAAAAGCCAAGGATATAGGATTGTGCGAACCGCAGCCCGACAATCACGTGGCATGGAGCCATTTCGTCCCTGACTTTTTAAAAGTATAATACATTCTTTACTTAATGTCAAGATTTTCTTGTTTAAATCAATATTTTTTTGCTTAATGTCAATATTTTTTTCAAAAATGGGAGGTTGCATAAGTGCCACCTCAACTACAAATGTTGGCGGAGTTACTGGATAAGAACCAACTCTACGTCAACCTCTCCGAAATAGAGGACGCAGATTTTGCGGTGAGTGCGAAAGATAAGGTGTTGAATGGGACGTTCTATGGAGATTCTTACTAAAAAGGGAAAAAGAAATGACTGAAAAAAGAAAACAAGAACTAAGGCAGTTGCTACAAGAAGCAATGCCGAATGTCGTGATTGAGGTACCTGAACAATATAAACCTATATCGGTTGAGAAATATAGGGAATGTGCCAAAGCATTTCGAAAGTCTTACAGACCTGATTTGTCATATATTCTGTTGTACTACAGACCGAATATCCAAGAGGAGGAGGTGAAATCAAAACTTTTTAATTTCATAAAGGAAGAACTTGCAGATTATATACTACAAAATGAATCTGCAGAACCACCTTGGACCTATTCGATTTGTCCGGCTAAAATCGCTATACGTGGCGGAGCCATCTTTGCTTGCCCGCTGGACTCGCTATTAGAAAAACTTCTGGAGATCAGTATCGCCAGCAGCACGGATAAAGCAATATCGGCATTTGATAAATGCACGAGAGAAACGAGTGGAGCTTTCCAAAAGATAATCCTTCTTGAGGGTCCAATATACGATCCTTTTTTGCAGTCGGAGATAGAAGACAAAAGAGAAATACGTGTCTCTGATGGGATACGCCTTGTCCAATTTTCGCTTAATCCTTCCGAACTTCCCCCGTATCTGTTTGATCAGAAATTCAGTATTGTGCTAAGCAGTGCAGGTCCATCAGTTTTTCGCCAGAAGATCGTTCTTATAATTGATCATACTGTATCCCCGTTATTTTCCAAGCCTTCAACCGACAACAAGAATCAATTTGAGATAAAACAAAAAGCACGGAGTTTCCGAATTTCGATGTAGAGAAATTTTGCCAAGCGTTCTCCTTGGTTTCTAATTACCCAGTTGAACCTGTACTTCAGTGGTCGTACATCGACCAAGATGAACTCTTCAACCCACAGCGCGTTACAACAGAATTCCTCAACTTGGTCACACCAAAGGAAAACTCTGGTTTAACCACAATTGATGAGGCTCGTATAAAAAAAATCAAAGACCGGTATAAGGAACTACTCAACTTGCCCTCAGACGTTGCGGAAAAATTACAGATACCGATTAATAGATGGATAAAGTCAAAAACAGAGGATAATCCCGTCGATAAAATGATTGATTTAGGAATAGCCCTTGAATCCCTCTATGTACCAGGCAAAGTCCCAGGTAAAAGAAGATACATATCTCGTAATCTCCAGAATAATGCTTCTCGGTACTTAGGAAAAGATAAAGCAGATCAGGAAATATTAAGGACACGGTTCAAAGCAATATATGAGTACCGTTGCGATGCTGTTCATAAAGGGCAACTTGACGAAGAAGTTGAGGTAGACCGGAAGATTATTCCTATATCAGAGTTTATCACAGCGGCTCAGGACTTATGTAGACAATCAATAATGAAAATTCTGGAAGACGGAGAATTTCCTGATTGGGACAACTTGATACTCGGTTGAGTTTCACTTGACTTTTGCCCCAACAAGAGGTAAACTTAATGAGTATTCACAGCCGCCGCTTTCGGAATGAAGAGGAGATACTCTCATGAAACATATTGTTGACAACGTTAATAAAATGGACCTTAGGATTAAGACGCTTGACTTGGCAGGACGGGTGCCAGGACCTAATTCTATTGAGCTCCTGCGAGTGGAACTCTATTATGATGGGGAGTATGGCCCCCTCTCTGGAGCGCGGGTTCGGTATGCCCGCGACGGTGTTGAACAAGAAAACGGTTTCCCTATTGATTTACACAAAGGCGCATTCGTTGCCACCGTCCCTATCCAAGAAGCGGGGTTGGAAGAAGAACTCCAGAAAATTGGACCCGAAATCGCCGGGATTGTATATGAAGATTTGGCGGAGAACCGACACATCCCTGGGATGCCATCGTTTGCCGATCAAGGGTAATTGGAAACTGTCCGATGCTTGAGCAATTCCTTCATGAACAACTCGAAATCGCGTTCAACTTTGGGATCCCCAAACCCGAAATGCCGGATAGCATTACGCAAAATCTGAATCCCGAATTTGAACTCCGTCCCTACCAAGAAGACGCATTTTCGAGTTTTATTCACTATTTTAATAATGACCTTCCGGGCAAGGAAACCCCTCTACATCTGCTGTTCAACATGGCAACAGGCAGCGGTAAAACGCTCATCATGGCAGGCTTGATCCTCTATCTCTACGAGAAAGGCTACCGCAACTTCCTCTTTTTCGTCAACTCCACCAATATTATCGAAAAGACGAGGGATAACTTTCTCAATCCGCGTTCCTCAAAATACCTCTTTAGTGAAAACATCTATTTTGAAGGAGAGCATATCGAAGTCACGGAAGTAGAAAATTTCGAGGGAATCCATGAGAAGTCCATCAATATCTGCTTCACAACAATTCAGAAACTCCATTCGGACCTGACAGCAGAAAAGGAGAACGCCCTAACCTTTGAGGACTTCGCGAAAAAGAAAATCGCTCTCTTGGCGGATGAAGCACACCACATGAACGTCCAGACCAGAGCGCAACAGTTGGAACTGGAATTGGAAGAACAGAAGCCGAGTTGGGAGAATACGGTAGAGAACATCTTTAACGCTAACCCAAACAACCTACTGTTGGAATTCACCGCTACGCACGATTACGAAACACCTGCGATCGTAGATAAGTATCGAAACAAGGTCATCTATCGTTACGATCTCGTGAACTTTCGGAACGACAGGTTCTCAAAAGAGGTGGTGCTCGTACATTCCGATTTAGATCCACACTCACGCATGTTGCAAGCACTCATTCTCAATCAATACAAAGAACAGGTCGCGGCGAATAACGGCATCAATCTAAAGCCTGTCATCCTGTTCAAGGCACAGCGGACAATCGCGCAATCGCAAGAGAACAAGGCAAATTTTCATAAACTAATTGATGAGCTCACCGCCGACCAAATTGACAGTTTTCGCGGATCAGATCTTGAAATCGTTCAACGGGCATTCCGTTTCTTTGATGAAAAGATGACTACCGAGGCGTTGGTCCAACGTCTAAAATCGGTATTCCGTGAGGAACACTGCCTTTCGGTTAACGACGAGAATGAGAAGGAGACTTATCAACTCCGGCTTAACGACCTTGAAGACAAGAGAAATCCGATCCGTGCAATCTTCGCTGTGCAGAAAACTCAATGAAGGGTGGGATGTGCTGAACCTCTTCGACATCGTTCGCTGTTATGAAGCGCGCGACTCAGGAAAGAACAAAATCGGAAAAACAACAATATCCGAGGCACAACTTATCGGGCGCGGCGCACGCTATTTTCCCTTCGTCCTGCCTGAGCACACAGACCGGTTCCGCCGTAAGTTTGATGAAGATCTCGACCACGAATTGCGCGTACTGGAAGAACTGCACTACCACAGCATCCACGATTCACGCTACATCTCCGAAATCCGTACCGCACTGATTGACGAAGGTATGATGGACGAACGCCTTGAGACGCGCCAGCTCAAATTGAAAGCCGATTTCAAGGACACCGATCTCTACAAACACGGCGTTGTCTGGCTTAACAAACAGGTCCCGAAAGATTATCAACACGTCCAGTCTTTTACGGACTTAGCGAAGTTAGATGTGAAGCAGAAAAACTATGAGCATGCCATCTATACAGGTGCTGGAGGTGTAACGACTGTAATGGAAAATGCCGCGGTACCCGTCGCACAAGGAAACCAAAACAGTCGGGACATAAAAGTAGTTGACATCGAACTGAATATCGTCAGGTCTGCCCTTGCGCGAAATCCGTTTTTCACGTTCGCATCGCTCAGACAGTATTTTCCGCACTTGGCATCCGTCACGCGAATTTATCACTTCCAAAAACTATCTGGGCGGTTTGGCAATTACTTTCAAGGGAAATCTCGTTGGTTTGGAAGAAAATCGCGCCGCAAAATTGTCCGCATGTGAAGGGTTGCTCAGTCAAATCGAATCCGAAATTCGTAAAGAGATTACCGAATATCAAGGCACGAAACACTTTTATGAGCATCACATCCGAGCTGTTTTCACCGACAAAACTCTGAAATTCAGTGTGGATACGCCGCGTGCTGATGATAGCGACACGGCGTATCTCGTCAAAGTCAGCGACTGGTTCGCTTATGACACCCTCTACGGCACGAGTGAAGAAAAAGCGTTTGTAGCGATGTTAGACAGATGGATTCAGGAATCAACCAAAACCTATGAGGACATCTATCTGCTTCGCAACGAAGGGCATTTCTCTATTTATAGTTTCTCCGATGGCAGTCCCTTTCAACCCGACTTTGTGCTGTTCTTACGCGAGAAAAATGGAGAGCCCCTAAGTTACCAACTCTTCATTGAACCCAAAGGTGAATATCTCACAGAAACCGACCGATGGAAAGAGAAGTTTCTGGCAGAAATCCGTGCCGAATACCACAGTAAAATCCTGACGGAGAATAGCAAATACCGCGTCATCGGTGTCCCATCATTCTATCATGAAAGATACGAAAACCAATTCAAAGATGACCTCAATGCGGCGTTGACAGAAACCGCTCAAACGTCAGAGCAAGATGATTGAAGGTCACCAATATTGCTACCAAGTTAGCATCTTTGGCAGAATAACGTATCGCCCATCCGTCATTTAATCCCTAACCTTGGTAGGTGGCTTCCTACACCGATTCTCCTTGAAAACCCACAGAAGTATCCAGTGATACACCTATCGCCCCGTTGGGGCTTTATAGTAAAGCCTATAATTACCTATACACATTAGAGTTGGCGAGGTTAGGAAACCTCGCCAGCGAGGCGGGAAGGTCCAAATCCTCGGTGTTCACATATTTTCAGGCTTTACTATATTTGAAGTTGGCAACTTGCATTAGGTAAGTCATGATCGGGAGAGTGTTCCTACACGGATGTGTTGAGATTCGGAGATCCCTCCTACAGTAGGAGTGGCAGCCAGAGGGTCAGGATTTAGAGATGCTCCTACAGGGGGACTGAATGATTCTGGTCTGGGATTCAGGGTCATTCAGTTTTAAGAAATTATCGGATTTCACGCCTTTTTTTCACGATCCGGTGCGGTTAGGAATGCAGATCGCATGAATCAACGCCGAGTGCGCGTGTGGCACTCGGCGGGGCGAGTACGCCGCAAAACCGCACCTACCGGGCCTGTGACAAAAACCAGATCGAAGAATGGAAAACTGAATAGCCTTATCTGGGATTGAAGAATTATTGACAAACC